AGTCCTTATTTAAGATTTATTGTTAAAACAAGAAGCTGTATAAAATTTGGATTAAAAAAATATCAATTGCAATGTAAAAACTGTAATTGTGTTTTCTAAGACTAAAAGAAAAGAACTGATAAATAAACATCCGAAGGTCAAAGTAACAACTTTTACTTAATTTCACATAGGGTGATGTATGCGTGAGTGAGTGAGAGAAGCATAGAAAACATACACACATTTAATACTTATGTTGCAAAAAATCTCTTAAATCATTAAGGCAGCATTTATTCAGTGAAGCAAAATGCATTAAGATTTTTTTTAAATGGTCAGGATTAGTATATATATATATATATATTTTTTTTTTAAAGAGAAAACAAAAATGCTGAATATCATTAATATAACCTAGCAGATGCCATTGAATTGCCATTGTGGTGTTTTAAATTCTCCAAATACTCTGCCCTTTTTGGTAACTTATATTCTCAAAGTAAATCCCAGTGCTAAAGCACGAAATGTTCACATTTCACAAGCTATGATATAGGGCATTACATTGTTTGCATAAGCAAAATCAAGGCATTTTTCAGTGTTACAGCTCTGTTTTAAAACAGGCTCCAAAAATAATATCTCATATGCCCAATGAAGCCATTCTTATATGTTACATTTTGGATACACAAAATCCTATTTCCTGTGACATGCAAAAACAGAAGAGAAAAAATATGGAAAGATGAAAGAATATAACATCAATCAACTGCATGAGAAAGGAAGATACCTTCTCTTTATATGAACTCTCATTGTTTCCCAGGAACACAGTATAAAAAGATAACACTTCCTTGCATTTTATAAAAGGTTCTTGACATAATTTGTGACTTATTAACTAGTGATGCTAAAAGCACATTGCACATGAAGTGCAATGTTTCTTCCTGTTTCTTAAAATTTAACACTATACTAAATAACATTAAAATATTTTTCACGCTGTGTTTATCTAACATTAAACTTCACATTTGCTTAGCAGTGCACAATCTTCACAATAACAGGGTATATTGCCAAAGGCAGCATGCAGACTTTTTGGAATTGCTCCCATCTCTTTCGGTTCACCTGTAAAAACATCTACGCGCTCCCTAGGACTGCATCTGTGGCTAGTTTTAAAGAATGACTATCCATGCAAACAGGAATAATTTCAGCATGAAATAATCTGTAAAAATCAAGATAGTAGGCAGTGCTTAGATTGAAAAAAAAAGTATTTAAAAATGCTGTGTTCAGTCTATGGTCTTTACCCGTGTATTTTGGATATGCTAAAAGAATTTTCAGAGCTTCTGCATTAAAGACTGTTACAAAAGGAACATGATGCTTGTTTATCTTACTGACTCCTTGTATCCAGGAGGGGAAAATAAAAAATAAAAATTCCCTGAATTCGAACTGGAAATCTAGACCCAACAATTGCTGCCAGCACTCTGTGCAGAAATTGTTGTTAATATAAAAAGTGCATGAAGCAAACTAGGTTATGGAATTAAAAAACAAAAAAAGTCACACGGCAAATCACTGTGGTCCCAATTCTGAACCCTTACTCATGCTGAGTCGTGTCTTCTTCTGCAAGTAATTCCACTGGAATCAATGGGATTACTCACATAGCAAGATACTAGTCATTGCAAGTGAGCGTGGCAGAATCAGGTGCTGATTGGAGGGGCATTTATGAAGGACACCATCATGCTTCCATCAAAGTCAATGGCAAAATGCCCATTATCTGCAACAGGGACAGGAACAGGACCTAACATCCCAGGCCTTCTTATTGACAGTTAGACTGGAGCTGAAAGATGATTTTCATACATGAAAAGCCAAATTCTCTACTGGTGAGAATGGATGACTCCACTCAAGTCACCGGATGGCATTCATCTACACCAGAAGAGAATATTGGCCCAATAAGAAACAGGGAGAACGTTTTCATTCCTCTTTAAAGTATATGAGTTTGCAAGCTACATGAAATAGCAGCAAGGAAATGTTAAGAGCTTTTGCCTTGGTATGTAAAATATCCCACAGGCATTTTAGCTTCAAAATAGCCATTACCAAGAGAAAAAAAAAAAACCTGTACCATGTGCTTTTCCTTCCTTTGCTGTATAGTGAAAGTATGCTTGATTAAAATCCAGCAATACCTTCCCAGACTCATATCAAAATCTAATGTCAAGTTTTGTGTTTTATGCACTTCCTAGCGGATTCTGGGCATCTGAACAGAACTTCCGTCTCTCTTGCCCAATCTCAACCAAGGACGTACACAAAGAGGGCCTGCTGTATCCTTGAGGCAGTGACTCAGGAAATAGGTTGGCTGAAACAGGTCATAGGGTCATCGCTACGCATCCTTCCTCCTGAGCTTCCATTTTCCTCTCACACAAACCATGCATTAACAACTGCTCACTAGCTCACTTCTACCACCATGAGGGAAATCAGTTTTCCCTTAACATATTGGAGGTGCTCTGGAATGTGGCACCCTTTTTCTCTCCCATTCTTATTGGAGGTTGAGGGTGCTTCTCTCACCCTATGCAGTAAATATTTCTGGGTTGCTCCTGGTATTCAATAAAGCCTACGGGGTTTCTGTCTTAAGATGTGCACTATTCTCAGTTTAAATAACGAGAAATACTTCTACTTTATCCATTGAATTATATCGGCTCATATCATTGGCTTAAAGGGGCCAAAATGAGTTCATGTCCAGAGGAAAATAGAACACAATGGACAGTAGAATGCAAAATCCAATTCAGCAAGAATGTGTTCATTGGATATGACACAGATATTATAGGAAGACTTTAATACTGGAAAGAAAAAATATTCCTACTTTGTCTGCATATTTCATCAGCACTATATTTCCTACATACATGGTTGTGTCTGTGTACACCCATTCAGGAATCTATATTTAGAGAATCACCTACTATAAGCCATTTTTTATGTAAATTTTTTAAAAAGGAAAGGCAATTCTTCAATTCTTTAATTTAAAATCGTTAAGGTTTACTTTGTATTACAAGTCACTTTTGACATTTCCTCTCTGCCAAGTGTATTTTTCATTATATCAACCCTAAACACATATGTCGTTCCATGTAGGGGCCTGATCCTGTCAGGTGCTGTCCGCCTCCTGCAAGATAGCGAACATTCTCAGTTTCCATGGACTTCAATGTGAAATAAGGTGCTCAGCACCTCTCTGAATCCATCCGATAGAGTAGCTTATATTATTCTACCTACCTTTAAAAAAATTCTCATTACAAGAAGTTTAAGAATGGATCTGTAATAATGGTCAATTTCTGAATAACGTAACATCCACAAGACATGTATATAATCAATATCCATTTACATGATTAGGTACAAACCAATATAACATAAATTTGCAAACAGCTTTCTTTCCAGATGTCTCAAGGATTCATTGTCCTAAAATCTATTAATACACATGTCTGTAGAATGGGGTATGATGTCAGGTATTTTGCTATAGTTGTTGGAAAGAAATAGAATTATGCAATATCTAGTTTGATAATTCATATTAGATATAATAAATATTCTAGATTATACATTGGATACTAGATACCTAGTCTAGTTTAATCCAGGAAAACTTCTCTATAAAGTTCAGTAAGTATGACAAGCTTATTTAAAGTTGAATAGTTGTGAAGGAATCTGTACTGACAACTAAAGCCTTTGGTACTCAATTGATACGAAATAACCAACTGGATAAACAGTACCAAAGCGCTGAATATGAAGTATATTCACTGAGGAATTCCAGGGGAACATCATCCTGCAAAGCTGAAAATTGTTCATTCTGTCTTTTTATCAGCCAACTACTATCTTTGCTCAGATGTCTGCAAGTTTGTTCTCTGCTTATTATGCTAATGCATCTAAAGAAATTTAACATATTCTTGATAATAGGGACATTCAAAACTTTAAAATGAAAGGGTTATACTGGACAAGATTTTGGTAGAATAAGCCAGGGCACGTTAGATGAAAGCGATTTCAGACAGTCGTATTCCCCCCGCACCAACACCCCCTGACAAAAAGATAGATACATCTGAAGAACACATTACACTTCTATATCATGAATCTGTTTTGGTGCTAAAAATCACTCCACTGCACTACTGAGAAGTACAAAGTGACAAATTCTTTTGTGTAAAATTAATAATTGTTCCTTAGCAATAGTGGTTTTCTACTAATTTTTGGAACGGTTTTCATGGACATTTTCAAATAGGGTGACCCTCTTTGTCAAGAATTCTCTCTCTTTTTAGCTGAGATGATGTTATGGAGGAATTTTAAACAGAATAGAAATAATTAACAACTCTAGGTGCACTAATAGCTCCTTTATTAGGATTCCTCCACACCAAAAAGTAAAAAATTTAAACTAATTAACTGTGGAGCTTCCTGAGCTAGTCTTTATCTTAAAACAGAAATACAATCCCCCTTTAAGAACATGGACACGTAGGGCCCAATCCAGCCCATCCACGGAAACTCCTGTGAAGCACTGAGGAGCCTCAACTCCCATTGACTGTCCTGGGAATTGAGGTTACTTGACACATCTCAGGTGGTACTCAGCATCTTACTGGTTCAGGCCTTCACTGTTTTGAGGAGAAACATACCCTGTGGTCATGTATCTGCAGGTTGCATTAGTTAGATAAACAGTTTGTCCAACTGAGAAAGAGACAACAAGCCTACCCGTGGTACAAAAATGTCACTACTATTCTCCTTACAAACCAGTTTTATGTTCTTCATGAGCAGTTAAACAATCATTAAAGTCCACATGGAA